AAATAAATAAAATCTTAAAAAAAAAAAAAAAGAAATATTAGAAAATACGTACTCAGTATCTTGTCACCTCAAAGGTAGTTTTCAATTTTGCATTTTTCCTTCAGTTTTACCTATATGAATGTTATTTTGTCCTTAGGAATTACCTCTAATATTTATCTCTAATATTATTATGTTTTGCTTATTTTGTCTGGAATTAATATAGTGGCACGGACTTCCTTTTTGTTAGAATTTGCCTGGTATATCTTTTCCTGTCTCTTTACTTTCAATGTTTTTGTGCCATTATGTTTAGGTTTGTCTCCTGGAAGAACATTGCTAGATTTTTAAAATTACATTTTGAAAGTCAAAGTGTATTAACTGGTGAATTTAATCTGTTCATATTATTGTAAATATATACATGCAGTTGACCTTTGAACAGCATGGGTTTGAACTGTGCAGGTCCACTTATAGGGGCATTTTTTTTTTTTTTTGGTAAATAAAATAAAGTGCTGTAAATGTTTTTTCTCTTCCTTATGATTTTCTTAATGACATTTTCTTTTCTCTGGCTTACTTTATTGTAAGAATGCAGGATTTAATACATATACAAAATATGTGTTAATCAACTGTTTATGTTATCAGTAAGGCTTCTGATCAACACTAAGCTATTAGTTAAGTTCTGGGGGAATCAAAAGTTATATGCAGATTTTATATGCAGATTTCAATCATGCAGGGGGTTGGTGCTTTGTTTGAGGGTCAACTATATACTTATTTATCAGTTAGGCATGAAAATTTATGTATCGTGTTGTTTGAAGGTCAACTATATACTTATTTATCAGTTAGGCATGAAAATTTATATATCATGTGTTGTTTGAGGGTCAACTATATATACTTATTTATCTTACATTTTATACTTCTATGCTTTTGAAGGTAACCTTTTTTCCTTTCTTTGGAGGGATTAAGTTTTCTTTCATCTTTTCTCCAATCCTTCCCCTGTTTTGGAAGTTATACTTCTATTTCAGTTCTACACATTTATGTTTTTAACTACATCTACAACTTTCTTTCAGAATAATTTAAGGACCTTAGAAAACTTTAATACTGACTTCTCTCCTTCTTCCAATTCACACTCATGTTGCTTAGTATTTCAGTTATTCTTTGCCTTTAAATTCTATCTGAAAATAGTTATTGGTGTATATTTTGTATATAAATTTATTTACATAACCAAAGCTTATTTGGAATCTCTAACAAACTTGCTAATTATTATTAACTCTTGTATCACAATATTAAAGCACATCTTTTAAAAGCTTGCTTTAAAAATCGTCTGTTTCTGTGTGTGGTAAAAATGTGGTAAAAATATCAAGTCTCTTTTTTTTAATGTCTTTATTTTGTTTTTCATGCCTAACTGATAATTTATCTAGGTACAGAATTCTAGGTTGACAATGCATTTCCTCCACGACTTTGAAGATACTGTTCCATTGTCTCCTGACATCCCTTGTTGCTGATGAGAAAGCCACTACCAGACTAAAATGACAGGAAATCTACATTTTATCTTTGGTTGCCTCTGAGATTTTTCTCTTTGATACTCTGAAGGTTCACCATGATCTGATTCAATGCTAACTTTATTTATGTTGCTTAGATAGAAAAGACTCATGTCTTCCTTAGTTCTAGAAAATTCCCCACCATTATCTCTTCAAATAGGTTTGTCTTCATTCTTTCTATTCTCTCCTTCTAAAACTTTTTTTTTTTTAAGATTTTATTTATTTCGTCTCTGCGAGGCTGGGCTGGCGGCGGCGGCGGGAGCCGGATGATCCGCGGAGGGGCGCCTCGGCCATGACTGCAGAGCTGCAGCAGGAGGACGTGGCTGGAGCAGCCGACCGACACGGCTCGACCTGCCAAATGCTGTTAAACCAACTAAGAGAAATCACAGGCATTCAGGACCCTTCCTTTCTTCATGAAGCTCTGAAGGCCAGTAATGGTGACATCACCCAGGCAGTCAGCCTTCTCACCGAGGAAAGAGTTAAAGAGCCCAGTCAAGACACTGTTGCTACAGAACCATCTGAAGTAGAGGGCAGCGCTGCCAACAAAGAAGTTTTAGCAAAAGTGATAGACCTTACCCATGATAACAAAGATGATCTTCAAGCTGCCATTGCTTTGAGCCTACTGGAATCCCCCAAAATTCAAGCTGATGGGAGAGATCTGAACAGGATGCACGAGGCAGCCTCTGCAGAAACGAAACGCTCCAAGAGAAAACGCTGTGAAGTCTGGGGAGAAAATCCCAATCCTAACGACTGGAGGAGAGTCGATGGGTGGCCCGTTGGGCTGAAGAATGTTAGCAATACATGTTGGTTTAGTGCTGTTATTCAGTCTCTCTTTCAACTGCCTGAATTTCGAAGACTTGTCCTCAGCTATAGTCTACCGCAGAATGTGCTTGAAAACTGTCTGAGTCACACGGAAAAGAGAAATATTGTGTTTATGCAAGAGCTTCAGTATTTGTTTGCTCTGATGATGGGATCAAATCGCAAATTTGTAGACCCTTCAGCAGCCCTGGATCTCTTAAAGGGAGCATTCCGATCACCTAAGGAACAGCAGCAAGATGTGAGTGAATTCACACACAAGCTCCTGGATTGGCTAGAGGATGCATTCCAGCTAGCTGTGAGTGTGAACAATCCCAGGAACAAATCTGAAAATCCAGTGGTGCAGCTTTTCTACGGTACTTTCCTCACTGAAGGGGTTCGTGAAGGAAAGCCCTTTTGCAACAATGAGACCTTCGGCCAGTATCCCCTTCAGCATTGGTTTACAAAGCTACCTCCAGTGTTGACCTTTGAACTCTCAAGATTCGAGTTCAATCAGTCCCCTCTGGTCAGCCAGAGAAAATTCACAATAAGCTGGAATTTCCTCAGATCATTTATATGGACAGGTACATGTACAAGAGCAAAGAGCTTATTCGAAGTAAGAGAGAGTGTATTCGAAAGTTGAAGGAGGAAATAAAAGTTCTGCAGCAAAAACTGGAAAGGTACGTGAAGTACGGCTCAGGCCCAGCTCGGTTTCCACTCCCGGACATGCTGAAATACGTTATCGAATTTGCCAGTACAAAACCTGTCCCAGAAAGGGCCACGTCTCAAAGCGATGCGCACATGACGTTACCGCTTTCTTCAGCACACTGCCCAGTTTCTGACCCGGCATCCAAGGAAAGTACAAGTAAAGAAAGCTCTTCTCAGGATGTTGAATGTACCTTTTCTTCTGAAGATTCTCTACCCAAATCTAAGGCAATGAATAAGCCACTTGCATCTTCCCGGTCTTCAATGGAAATGCCTGCACAGCCAGCTCCTCGAACCGTCACAGACGAGGAGATAAACTTTGTTAAGATCTGTCTTCAGAGGTGGAGGAGTGAGATCGAACAAGATATACAAGATTTAAAGAATTGTATTGCAAGCACCACCCAGACTATTGAGCAGATGTATTGTGACCCTCTCCTTCGTCAGGTGCCTTATCACTTGCATGCTGTTCTTGTTCATGAAGGGCAAGCAAACGCTGGACACTACTGGGCCTATATCTATAATCAACCCCGACAAGTCTGGCTCAAGTACAATGACATCTCTGTTACTGAATCTTCCTGGGAAGAACTTGAAAGAGATTCTTACGGGGGCCTGAGAAATGTTAGTGCTTACTGTCTGATGTACATTAACGACCAGCTACCGCACTTCAATGCAGAGGTAGCCCCAAGCGAATCAGATCAGATGTTAGGAGAAGTGGATGCCCTGTCTGTTGAACTGAAGCATTACATTCAGGAAGATAACTGGACGTTTGAGCAGGAAGTCGAGGAGTGGGAAGAAGAGCAGTCTTGCAAAATCCCTCAAATGGAATCCTCCACGAGCTCAGCATCCCAGGATTTCTCTCCATCCCCAGAGCCTTCAGCAACCGCCTCGCACGGGGTCCGCTGCTTGGCGTCGGAGCACGCTGTGATTGTCAAGGAGCAGACGGCGCAGGCCATCGCGAACAGCGCGCACGCCTACGAGAGGAGCGGCGTGGAGGCGGCGCTGAGCGAGGTGACAGAGCCGAGCAGTGACCGCCAGTTTCTCACCTTTTCGTGATTCTGTGTCTCTGCTGCATTTAACTGGTCCCTCTTTCTTTCTCCTGTTTTTTCTTACTCTTTCTCTCCATTCTGCTGCCGCAGCTTAAAGAAGCTGAACCCCGGAAGCCCATGCCCCCGGAAACAAACCTTGCAGAGCATTCAGAGCAGGCCCCGAAGGCGAAGGACGCAGAGTCTGCCGCCCCGCCTAATTCTGAGGCCTCTGAAGTCGAGATTCCCAGTGTGGGAAGGATTCTGGTTAGATCTGATGCAGATGGATATGATGAGGAGGTACACAGATGAGTGCAGGATTCAGCTGTCTCCGGTCTTCTCTTTCCTTCCCATGTGACCCAATATACTTGTCGAGGGTGTCTGGCAATAGTTAATATTGGAACAAATAAGGAACAAGAGGGCCTATCTGGTTTTGACCTTAGTTACCATTTTGTAAAAGATTGCCTTGTTCCCACCGTATGCTGCCCCCAGTGTCTGTCTACCCAGGCGGATCCTGCTGGAGGCACCTTAGAGTCTAGGTGGCTCAGAAAGGTAGCACTTAGTTCCTCTCTTGGTATTATGAGCAACAACAACAACAAAAGTGCCTTTTAAATAAGGAGCCTTTGTCTTTGGTAATATTAGTCCATTGTTTTCCCTCCAAATCTAAAATTTTCAGTTGTCTGGTGAGCAAAACAAATGTGAATTGAAATTGTTTTTAATTCTCAAGCTTCTGGAAGAAGCTGTGGGATCCCAAGTTACTCATGGTCGGTCCCCCTTAACAGTTGGCACCGCACATCACAGTCACGAATCCTGTCCCTCAGGGTTCTGTTTCTTGCTGTGGGATATTTTTTTTTCCAAATCATTGAACGGTTTTGATTTTATAAAATCATATTTGTATACCGCCTAATTTCCAGACTGTTAAATGGACTGATCGTTTTAGTAAAACTCTAGAATACTTGTGTCCTAGGATATACAGCCAGATTACAGAACTCGATTGGGGTTCTCACCGTGGACACTTCCCCTGGGAGAGCTATCATTTAACTTGATTCTTTAGCAGTGCCGTTTGTAAATATTCTCAGACGTCCCTCTTTATTTATCTGCTAAATTAGAGTATGTAGGAACAGCTCTTCTTGGGCAAGGTCTGGCCAGGGTGCACAGGGACGGGGCTGTGGGTGTGCGTGGGGGCAGGTGTGTGAATCTGAGCTGGCAGCAGATGCCGGCCACGGGCGCACGGCCACTCTTGCTTTCAGCAGCCCACTCGCCTTCCTTCCGTTCAGTCTTCTTTTGAACTTTTCTTCTCTCCTTTTTCTTTCTGTGTTTTGTGCCTTCCTGTGGTAGGTGATGCTGAGCCCCGCCATGCAAGGGGTCATCCTGGCCATAGCTAAAGCCCGCCAGACCTTTGACCGAGATGGGTCTGAAGCAGGGCTGATTAAGGTATCTCTTTTTAAAAATCTAATCCTTATACCACAGGTAATATAGTAATGGGGACATAATTTTATTAGATGGTTAAAAAAAAAAAAAAGGGGAATAAAGACTGTTT